CAGGCCGAAAAGGCGGAGTGTTTTTCTGGTTGTTTTTTTGGGGGGGTCTTTGGTGTTTTTTTTTGGGGGGGGAGGGGGGTTCTTCCAAGCCAATAACGCCAGCTTTGATAGGCTTCAATAAGTAGTCCACAATCTGGTGACGTCAGACGAGTGTATGACGTAGGTGGTCGACTGGTGAGAACAGCAGACGACGGCTCTCCCTGGATCTGATTGGTGCAGCTGGGAGCCAGACGACTCAGAGCCGGAGCAGACAAGAGTGTTCCCGCCAGTCTCCTCGCCAAGGGAACAGGTTCCATCATACTCCCTCGCTGCTTCAGCCTGGTCCCTGAGCTCACTCTGTGTAGTAAGTATGTAGTTGTATAGACTCGTTCTATGTGTATTAGGCCTACTTCACTTCCCGAAAGCAGACCTCTTTCTTTTTGTTTTTGTGGTTGTTGATTGAAAAATAATAAATTTTAGAATAAATTTTAAGCTATGCATATCGTTTGTTGAAATCCCAGCACACCAATAGCATCTTCATACCAACGTTAACATATCAGTGCCAAACATGATCTCAGAACAAGGCACAAGAAAGAAAAATCAATGCATGCGAATTGAGGTGTCTCCCCAAAACCATCAACGTGACCAGAAGAGACCGCATAAGAAACGCAACCATACGTCTACAAACTGGAATACCCCCAATAATAAAATTCATAGAGCGTCAAAAAGTCAAACGGTTTGGACATCTAACCAGAATGCCCCAGAAACAACTAGCAGCTAGAGTTTACAACACCTGAGAATCCGACTTCAAATCAAGAGGAAGACCTAGAAAGCTTGTTCAATCGTCTTGCTTTGTTAATGAAAAAAATACCCGTGTATCTTGAATTTGAATAGTAGTCGAGGAACACTGTATAACTTGCGATGGTAGGAGGTAGGAATCGCCTGGCGTCACTGTCACAGGCAAGATTGTCCAAAAAAACGGTTGTTAACGTTTGGTGACTTCAACAGCTTATTAAGAATCCTTGGAAACTGCAAATTTGAATTTATTGTGTGTGTGTGTGTGTGTGTGTGTGT